TGATGCATTTGAATTTTGGTGTTGGCAAAGAATATTGAACGTATCATGGACTACCAGAAGAACAAACAAATCTGCCTTGGAAGAAGTACAGCAAGAATGCTCCTTAGAAGTGATGATAGTGAGACTTCGTCTCATGTACTTTGGACACATTATCAGAAGGGACCAGTCCCTGGAGGGCATCATGCTTGGTAAAGCAGAGGGTCAGTGAAAAAGGGGGAAGACACTCAATGAGATGGATTGACACCATGGCTACAACAATGAGCTCAAATATAGCAACAATTGTGAGGATGGCACAGGACTGGGCAGCATTTTGTTCTGTTGTACATAGGGTCACTATGAGTTGGAACCAATTGGACAGCACCTAACAATAACAGAGACAATTCCAAAATTAACTTCCTTTCTAAAAAGTGCATCAGAAGAGACTTCTTATTTTGAACGCTCAAGTGTAATGGGTGCAAATCATTGTACTAATACCACTAGTGCTGAAATTACTAATAGCAATACAAATATAACAGGATTTGTTTCAAATTCTGCGTCCATTCCTTGCTGAAGTAAAAAAAAATTAATAATGGTGTAGAAAGTGAAACTATTGTAAAATGTGAAACTGTTGCATCTGCAGACCCCATAAATAATAGAACTACAGATCCTGCTTTGTGGAATAATTTTTCTTCTTATGATATAAATTATTGGATCAAAAGAGGGCCAAGTGATTGTCAACATCACAGTGGACAATTGTCGAAAATTTGTCGAAAATTTCCGGATAGTAAGCAAACAAGGTTCTGTGGCCAGAATATATTTCTAGGGTGCAAAGCTAATGGTGAAAATTATAAGAGGGAGTGGCTACTGTACTCTATATCAGTTGGCTCTGTATATTGTTTTGTTTGCAAACTGTTCAGTCCTAAATCATTTAATTCTTGATTTGCTACAGATGGATTTAGTGATCGGTGCAACTCGAATGTGGCTGATGAACATGAAAAAACAGTTCAATTCACAGAGATTGTATGTTGTCATATTTAAATCAAAGGCATGGTTTTGGCTTAGCTCATGAACTGGTAACTCAAATTAATGAAGAACATCAGAATTGGAAAGTCATTTTACAATGTATTGTTGCTGTCATTATAACAATCGCTGAACGTGTACTATCTTTTTGAGGAAAAAATGTTTATGTCACCACAAAATGGAAATTTTGGAGGTTTACTTGAACTTTTTGCTCAGTTTGATCCAATTTTAGTACGTCACATCTCAAAATATGATAACATAGGAAAGGGCAACCCATCATATATGTCTAAAACAATGCATGAAAAATTAATAAACTTAATAACTGATAAAGTTTGATCAACTACTTTCAGTGAAATAAGTATAGCTTGATATTTCAGTTTGTTGGTATATTCCACTCCTGATGTTTCTCATACACATCAGCTAAGTATTGTTTTAAGATATATACCTCCAACAGATGGAAAACTTGTCAAGTGATTTATCACATTTACTAGGTTAAAAATTCATAACAGTGAAGAAATTGCAAATCAAGTACTTCACTATTTATGTGAAGTTTGAAAAATTGGTTTTTCTAAGTGCAGAGGCCAGTCCTATGTCAATATGTCAGGGCATTATAAAGGCATGCAACAGAAAATTTTAGAATGTAATGAATATGCCATTTTCATACCATGTGCTGTGCATTCACTTAATCTTGTAGGATGTAGCACAGTAGATTGTCGTCTGGCAGCAGTTGATTTTTTTTCTACTCTTTAGTTACTCTACACATTTTTTTCCATCTCTTCTCACTGATGGGTAGTTCTTAAAACAGATTTAGGCAATGATCGAGTATTAAAATGTCTTTCTAATACATGTTGCGAAGCGCATTCTATAGCAACAAGTGCAGTCCTGGAATTGTACACTCAGATTCTAGATGCCTTAGAAAATATTGCTGAAGACCAGACACAAAAAGGAAATACCAGAAGAGAAGCTGAAAACATCGCCAACAAAACACAAATGCTAGAATATATATTTATGTTGATTATGTGAAATAATATACTGCAGCATTTTCATCAGACAAGTCAAGCTCTCCAAGATTCAGAAGTAAATTTGAAGACATGCACAGATCTCTACCAGTCATTAACAGAGTATTTACATAATTTAAGAGAAGATTTTGAAATTACTGAAAACTCAGCAAAACAAATACTGATTATCAAGCAGTTCACTGTCAAAGAAACATTAGACAGAAACAAGAAAATGACGGAAGTGATCCAGAAGTTTAATTGAGTGCCAGAGATCAATTTTGCATAACCACATATTACACCATCATTGACACACTCAAATCTTGCATGAAAAGAAGGGTGAAAGTGTATGAAGTTCTTTCAGATAGATTTTCCTTTTGAACAATGTGGATATACCTGATGAAGAATACATGAAGGCATCCAAGAAATTAGTGCAGGCTTATCCTGATGACTTAAATACAAACCTTTATGGAGAAGTGCGACAATTTCATTCTTATATAAGAACTAAGTTTACAGATTCAGGAAAGACAAATTTTAGTCATGTAGGCATGTATGATTCCATAACAGAAGATAAAATATAACATGTATTTCCCAATGTTAAAATTGCTTTACACATATTCCTAACTTTAATGATCAAAAACTGCACAACAGAAAGCTCATTTTTGTCCCTAAAGAGACTCAAAAACCCTCAGCATACAATAATGATTCACGAAAGACTTGATTCATTATCCTTATTATGTATGGAAGTAGATATTGTTTGGCAGCTTAACTGTGATAAAATCATTGAAGAATTTGTAAGTGCAAAGAATAGAAAGTTTTTTAATTATAACATGTTAGAGATGAAAGATTTATCTAAAAATAAAATATAGTAATTTGTTATAATATTTGTTTTTTAATCATTAAATTTTTTTATGACATCTTTTCATTTGTTCATTTATAATTACAGAATTATTACAAATCAAGCATCAAAATTGAAGTATGAGCTGTTTAAAGCAAAATTGGTAGAAGTCAATTTTTCATTGTGAATTTTACAATATTGTTGAAACAACTAAATTTACTGATTCATTTTCTTGTTGTAGAATATATGGAATACTCTTTTTGTATAAATGCAGTACATAGTAAAAATCTTAGTACCCTGCATCCAATAAAAATTTTATAATCCCTGTAAGCAAGGGAGAATGAAGAAAACAAGATACAAGGAAAAGATTAGTCCAAAGGACTAATGGACCACAACTACCACAGCCTCCACCAGACTGAGTCCAGTACAACTAGATGGTACCCGGCTACCACCACTGACTGCTCTGACAGGGATCACAACAGAGGGTCCCAGACAGAGCTAGAGAAAAACGTAGAACAAAATTCTAACTCACAAAAAAAGACCAGATTTACTGGCCTGACAGAGACTGGAGAAACCCCGAGAGTATGTACCCCGGACACCCTTTTAGCTCAGTAATGAAGTCATTCCCGAGGGTCACCCTTCAGCCACAGATTAGACAGCGCCATAAAACAAAACGTGATTAAAAGGGCACAACAGTCCAGGGACAAGGATTAGAAGGCAGGAGGGGACGGCAAAGCTGGTAATAGGGAACCCAGATTTGAGAAGGGATAGTGTTGACATATTGTGGGGTTGTTAATCATTGTCAAAAAACAATATGTGTACTGTTTAATGAGAAACTATTTGTTCTGTAAATCTTCAGCTAAAGTACAATAAAAAAAGAAAAAGAAAAAAAATCTATAATCCAGTTCATCTCATTCTGCTAGAATGGCATACACCACTTTTCATTCAATCTCTAATATCATAGTCACATTTAGAAAGAAGTTACATCATGGATAGCTACGACACACACACACACACACACATATATATATATCACATATTCCATTGGAATGTGTGAGTATGCAGAGGAGGGGGCACCACAAGTTATCAGTGTTTAGGGCCCTCACATGCCTTAATTGAGCCCTGCACTTAGCCACTGCACCAGCAGGGCTCCCACGATGGAATCAGGGGTGGCCATTCAGCCCAGGGTGGAAACAACACATTCCTAGAAATTGAAGGCTGTGTCTGGTAATGAAATTCCTGCCTGAGGACAGAGACTTGAATCTTAGGGAAGAGGTCACTCTTTTGAGCTGCTGCATGAGTGTCAGATATCAAAGGAAGTAAAAAAAAAATAAAAAAGGTAAAAAGAATGACTCAGAGACAAGTTTTTTTTTTGTGTTCTCTAGATTAATAAGGTTTTCTTGACTATTACAGAATACTTGAGTGCTAGAGAGCCAGCAAATAGGTGTGTTGAAAACTGCAGAGTCATAAATATGAGCTTTGTTACCACTTTAGAGTTCTGGTCTAGAAGCTCCCAGAATGGACCACGGCCAGAGACTCCAGGACAGAGGGCACAGCCAGTGAGTCAACTACCGATGGCATGCGCACTAGGCCCACTAGAGCTACCATTGACAGGGCTGCTTGGCTCAACGGAACTCTACCACCCTCTCATTTCTGATTAACTACTGATGCTGGTAGGGGGCAGTGTTGGTTCAGTGGTGGAATTCTCATCTTTCTATGAGGGAGGCCCAGGTTCAATTCTCAGCCAATGCAGCCACCACCCGACTGTCAGTAGAGGCTTGTGTGTTGGTATGATACTGAACAGATTTCAGCAGAGCTTCCAGACTAAGATGGACTAGGAAGAAAAGCCTGGAGATCTACTTCCAAAAAACCCAATGGATCACAATGGCGTGATCCCATTGTGCATGGGTTGCCATGAGTCAGGGGCGGACTCAAGGGCAGGTAACAACAAAGGAAGAGGAAGCAAAGGAAGAGGAAGGAGAGGCAGTTGTTCATTTCATGAATGAGGGCAGCACAGAAGAGACAGTTATAATTGTACTGAACAGGACTCTGCCAATTACAGCAAAAAAAAAAAAAAAAAAAAAAATCACGTAGACCCCACACTGCCCCGTAAGAAGACTGGGGTTGTCAGAAGAGCCCCTTGCTGTGCTGGGATCATCCTTCCTTACCTCCCTCCAGGCATAGTATCTCTCTGCTTTGATAATCATGTCCACAACTAGGCTGTGGTTGCTCCTGGAGGCCACTGCCAGGGCTGTCTTTCCTTGCTGAAATTAAAAAAGAAAGAATCAGGCAGTATTATCTAGTAGTTAGCTTGCTTTGGAACATGTTCTAACTTTCGAACAAGAAAGCATGGGTTCAAATCCTGATTCTGCTACTTCCTTGCTGGGTGAACTTGGGCCAGTTCTGAGCTTCTCTGGGTCTGGTAAATGTGATAATGTGACTAAGCTCCTCAGGAGAGTACCTGGCACGTGGCAATTGTCCAAGAGATGTTAGCTATCAATAGCCTTAGGTGCTATGTTAACTGGGAAAGGGAAAAAGTGAGTAAGAGAAACAAAGAGGTGGGAAGAGCTTGGTTGGATAGCCTTCTAAAGACTATAACTACTTAGCAAATGTTCCCAGGCTCAGATTACATCTCCATCAATTCCCCTAAGACTTAGACAACAAAAGTTCATTGGTTGGGTGGGGATCTACCATCAACAGATGATGTTTTACACATGCTCTATCAATGAGAACCCGAATATTTCTACAAGACTCCCTGGTGTCTTCCTGGCCCGCTGCACACGGAAGTTCTCAGCAAGTAAATAACATCATCATACGTTTTCTCCTCTGAGGGATGATACCATCTGTGGCAGAGGCTATGAATGCCCCGCAGTAGCCTTTTCTCCCTTTCTTCTATAGGAAGAGACCCCCCGACTTTTTGCTGGGTACTTGGCCACCCCAAATATTGACTATATTTCCCAGCCTTCCTTGCAGTTAGGAATGCGACTTAAGTTCTACCCAATGGTATGTAAATGGAAGTGGTGCATGCAAATTCTGGGAACTATCTTTAAAGAGAGGAAGGATGTTATTCTCCTTCCTCTCCTCCTTCCTCCTGAGTGGAATGCTGGCATGAAGGCTGAAGCTTGAAAAACCCAGCCACCTTAGACCATGAGGTAGAAGCCATGTGTTGAGGAAGGTGGAATAATATGACAGAAAAGGCTTGGATCTTATTAACAGTACTATTAATAATGATGACGCTACTAATTCATAGTATAGAATTCTGTTCACTGGACTCCTTTCCAGAATTTTTTTCTACTATACTGGTAACCAGAGGGAAAAGGGTTAGAGTCTTAACCAAACGGAATGAGTAGCAAAGATTGTTCTGGACATTATTTGAGGCATGAGCTGCCTGGAGCCCATATGGTACCTTATACAAATTACAAAAAGGTGCACTTTCCTCACGATAGATATAGCTCAAAGTCCGGGCATACCGCTCAGCAAGCAGGGTACCCAGATTTTATGTAGTGGATGACCTGTACATCTGTACTTTTTTCCCTAAGCAAAGGCTAATTGGTTCTTGTTTGCTATTCAAATGATCCACAAAGAATTTGTTCAGGGACCCTAAAGATAATAATAATAGTCATAAATAACCCCAGAAGAAGTGCCAGTCTTAGGAATCCTGTGTTTCTATCCTTAGGAATCCAGAAATTTATCCCAATAATTTTCTTACATGTTCTGGATATTTGCAACAAGTTCAATTTCCACCAACACAAATTATTTGGCTGTTATTCCAGGCGCTAAGACCCAGGTGAGCCTGAAAATCAGAGCTGAAAGTAATCAACCCCTAATCAAAAGAGACAGTAATGAAATTAGGAAGAACTGCATTTTTCAGGCATTTAGCAAGCCTGTAATTATATACCGTCTAAATTCTGGCTTGTACAGCCATAATTAGCCTATTTTGGGAAGGCAACACTCTGAGAGCCAGGGTTTTCAGGTTCATAAGAAAATCTTCCTAGGGAGTGTATGCCAGAATGGAAGTCCAAATATTTCTGCCTCTGGTGGGACAGGGGAGGAGGCGAACTGGACAGAGACCTCTAGGAGCTTTGTGATGCCTCTAGTTGAGAAGACGGGCTTCCAGAAGGTTAAATTTACAACAAACCTTGCCTCCGTTTTTTTCCCCATTTGACCTTAATGTGATCTTGGAAACAGTCACTTATCTTTGGTAAAAACTGTGGTGCAGTGTCATGGATTGAATTGTGTCCCCCAAAAATATGCATATCAACTTGGCTAGGCCATGATTCCCAGTATTGTGTGACTATCTACCATTTTGTCATCTGATGTGATTTTCCTGCGTGTTGTAAATCCTATCTCTATGATGTCGATGAGATGGAATTAGGGGCAGTTATGTTAACGAGGCAGGATTTAATCTACACGATTGGATTGTGTCTTGAGCCAATCTCTTTTGAGATATAAAAGAGAGAAGCAAGCAGAGAGACAGGGGGACCTCATACCACAAAAAATAAGAACCAGGAGAATAGCACATCCTTTGGACCTGGGGTTCCTGCGCTGAGAAACTCCTTGACCAAGGAAGATTGATGACAAGGACCTTCCCAGAGCCAACAGAGAGAGAAAGCCTTCCCCTGGCGCTGGCACCCTGAATTCGGACTTCCAGCCTCCTAGACTGTGACAGAATAAATTTTTCTTTGTTAAAGCCATCCACTTGTGGTATTTCTATTTGCTTGTATATATGCACAAAGGAACTCTAACAGGACATTGTAATAATGGATACCTATGGAAAGGTCTACCACTGTCTGTCAGTTTGTCATACTGTGGTGGCTTGCATGTTACTATGATGCTGGAAGCTAATGCCACTGGTATTTCAAATACCAGCAGAGGCACCCATGGTGGACAGGTTTCAGCAGAGCTTTCAGACTAAGACAGACTAGGAAGAAAACCCTAGAGATCTACTTCTAAAAAAAAGCCAATGAAAATCCTATGTATCACAACAGAAGATTGTTCAGTGTAGTGCTGGAAGATGAGTCCCTTAGGTTGGAAGGCATTTAAACCTACCAACAATCATGAGGATGGTGCAGGACTAGGCAACATTTCATTCTATTGTACATAGGGTCATCATGAGTCAAAGCCTACCCCACAGCAACTAACAACAACAACAACATGGCAAAGGTAGTGTGAGAACAGGACAAACGACAAATGGGGTAAGAGGTTTGTAGGAAAATTTTACTCTTTACTATTCACATTTTTGTATTTTTGGACCACATGATTCCATAACTTATTTACATTTCACAAAGGATATGTTACTGCTTCTCCCTAAGGTTTATAGCCAACAGGGAAGCTTAGCAACCTCTCAACTGAACAGAGTGGAGTCAATAGAATCACCTTATCAACGATCTTCAGGTTACAGCCTGCCTTCAGGAGAGTCTCCACCATTTCCACATTTCCAATTTCAGCAGCTACATGCAAAGGGGTTTGCTGCCTCTGCCATCAGAAATTGTAAAAATGTAATTCAAGCACATTGAGGAGGAAAAAAAACTTGCATAGTGAAAAGAAAAAGGGAAAGTAGACATAAGGAAAATGGAAAAGATCATATATTTTTAAATGGGTACAGGGAACATTCATTACAGTATTATGTCTAATAGTGAAAACTTGAAAGAAAGTTGCATATTTAACAAGGAAACTCATTAGATAAATCAAGGTACATCCATAGACTGGAATATTAGGCAACCATTAAAAATGATCTTTAGAAAATTATTTCAAAGAGTATTTAATAAAATGAGAAATGCTTATCATATAACATTAAGACCTTAGGAAACAGCACTGAGCTGAGCTCAGTTTAACTAAAAAGTACATATAGAAAGAGAAAGAAACACCAAAAATATTAACAGTGGTAATGTCTAGATGAAGGAATTAGAGATTATTTTATTGTGTTAATGATGTTTTTCTTTATTTTTAAATTTTCTACATTATAATGTTTAAAGCAGTGTGTACAAAACTTGTAATTTCTTTCTGGGCTAATCACTTTCCTATCAAGAGAATGACAGTCTTTCAACAGAAACATGAAAATACAAGAAAATCACCCATGTTAATCTTCCACTGAAAGGAATGCTGATATCAAAATATTTCTAAAATATTAGGGAAGAACCTTGGATATTATCTAGTCTACATTCTTTAGAGGGGTGAAGCAACTTTCCCAGGGTCACATAGCTGGGCAACGGCCAGCAGACTCTGGGTCTTTCCCATCTAGCCCAGTATTCTTCCCACCAGAGCATAGGGCCAATCTGCTTGGGGTGTCGGCATCATTATTATCAAAAAGCATTTATTGAAGACCCACTTTTGGGTGGCAGTGTGTCCCTCTGGGGGTTTATCATCCAAGAGAGACCACTCTTACACTGACAAACCTACCAAATATCTATACCAACATGAAGCAGAGACACCAATGTAGTACATTAAATACCAATAAAACCCCATTTTGACAATACTGCTATACCTCTAGAAGGCAGGGAAGTTAACAAGAGTTATTTTTCTTGGGGGCAGGGGGATTACAAACAGATCTTAAGCTTTTTAGCTTTTATATCTTATTTTTACGTATTAGATGTGTATTTCTGGTCTAACAAAAAAAAAACAAATGATAAATTCTAGTTCTATAACTGGACAAGCCTAAGAAACACTGTTTTATAGGATTTCAACAGAAACAAAATTACACATGAACATAAAGCTCTGTATATTTAGCAAAGATTCTGCCCATTAGGAAAGATTTTGTACATTAATGTAGTTCAACACATAAGTATATTTAACAACAAGAAGTTTTTCCCTTAAAACTTTTGGGTTAGTAAAAGATGGAGAGAGGGCTCCTGGAAGTGGGTGTGGGTAGACAGAAGTGGGATTAAGTCTCCATTCAACTCAGTGTAAAAATTAACTCACTGCAAGTAGCATCTGGTGTCTTAAAAGCCTGTGAGTGGCCATCTAAGATAATCCACTGGTCTCACCCCTCCAGGAGCAAGGGAGAATGAAGAAAACAAGATACAAGGGAAAGATTAGTCCAAAGAACTAATGGACCACAGCTACCAAGGCCTCCACCAGACTGAGTCCAGTACATCTAGATGATGCCTGGCCACCACCACTGACTGCTCTGACAGGGATCACAACAGAGGGTCCTGGACAGAGCTGGAGAAAAATATAGAACAAAATTCTAACTCACAAAAAAAGACCAGACTTACTGGCCTGACAGAGACTGGAGAAACCCCAAGAATATGGCCCCCGGACACCCTTTTAGTCCAGTAATGAAGTCACTCCTGAGGTTCACCCTTCAGCCAAAGATTAGACAGTCCCATAAAACAAAATGAGACTAATGGGACACAACCCTCCAGGGACAAGGACTAGAAGGCAGGAGGGGACAGGAAAACTGGTAATAGGGAGCCAAAGGTCGAGAAGGGGGAGTGTTGACATGTCGTGGCGTTGTTAACCAATGTCATAAAACAGTGTGTGTGCTACTGTTTAATGAAAAACTATTTGTTCTGTAAACCTTCATCTAAAGTACAATTTAAAAAAAGAACCATAAAAAAAAAGACCAGACTTACTGGCCTGACGGAGACTAGAGAAACCCTGAGAGTAAGGCCCCCGGAAACCCTTTTGGCTCAGTGATGAAGTCACTCCCAAGGTTCACCCTTTAGCCAAGGATTAGACAGGACAATAAAACAAAATGAGACTAGCGGGGCACAACAGCCCAGGGACAAGGACTGGAAGGCAGGAGGGGACAGGAAATGTGGTAATAGGGAGCCCAAGGTCAAGAAGGGGGAGTGTTGACATGTCGTGGGGTTGTTAACCATTGTCATAAAACAATATGTATACTATTTGATGAGAAACTAGTTTGTTCTATAAACCTTCATCTAAAGTACAATAAAAAAAAATTTTTTTTTCTAAAATTAAAAAAAAACTCACTGCAGAGATCCGATTCAATGCTCTGTTATAGATGGGGAAACTGAGGGCCACACAGTTTAGGGTTAACAAAGTTAGGACTGGCAGGCCCACCTTACCATGCCTTCTCTCTAGCCTGGAGGGGGCACAGCTGAGGCTTCTCTGGGGAGAAGCAGCCAGAAGGTAGGGAAGGGGTGCAGAGGTTTCTTCTCTCCTCAGAATCCCAGGAACCCTCTCCCCACCTTTTACTTCCTCTTCCCACATCCAGGTACCTCTTTGGGTAAGGGCCTGAGCCAAACAAAAGGGCCTCTGGGAGCATGGAGGCTTAGCCTGAAGCCCCAGAGAGCAGGCCTTTAGTTCAGACACCACCACCCCTTCCCTCACCCCTTCCTCTTTATTATTGCATCTCGGCATTTCCAATTCCAGCCGGTGATAAATTCCTTTTATGTGGCATTTGATTCTGCTTCAGCTGACTGAATTCATGGTGATTTTTTATATCGGGTGTTTTTTGCCTTCAGGCAAAAGCAAGACACATTTTACTGTCTCTAATATAGAAACAAAGCTTCCTTCTTGTGGCAAAGGGCTCCCTGCCAATTACAGCATATCACACTTGGGGAGTGACTTTTGATTTAAAGAGCCCCTGGCAATTTACCTTTGAGCCACTGTTTATCTATGAAAAGTGCTGGGTCTGTTGAATGTGAACAATTTAATAATGCACTAGGCTGAACCCCAGCTGTGCATTTCAGAAAGACAAAGTATGTGAAAGACAAAGTATGTGTGGGGGTGGGGGTGGGGGTTGGGGGAGGGTTACAGGAGAAAAATAATGCACTTATTCCTCCCAGGAATTTTTAGGGCACCTTGAACTTGATTAAAACAACCACTAAACAGACACTGCATTGAAACATGAGAAAGTAGATCATCTGGGTTCTGATTTGCCTGACTTACCTGATTTAAGATGTCAGTGTCATGTTGGGCACTTAATAGGCTGTGTACAACTGTGATGTGGTTGTTGATAACAGCTAAATGAAGAGGGGACTCCTTAGGCTGCAGAAGAAAATAAAAATTTTAAGTCAGAGGGATGCTGGCTTAGTCACCAAATCAAAAAGCAACTCATTTCAGCAGACACCTCCTGATTATCCACCCCCGCCCCCCTTCTGACATCACCCAGCACAGTGGCAGGGCCTCAGTAAGTGCTCAGTGATCACTTTCATCCCAAGACTGCTGGCAAACCTTCTCACCAGCACTCAGCTCTGTCCCTTCATTTCTTCTGGAGCAATCTACTGAGTACCTAGTATGGGACGAGGCATGCTAGGGATTAGTGTTGAACAAAACATAGGTGGCCCATTCTCAGGGACCTTCCAATTCTAGTGGGGTAGATAAATATTTGTGTTTAAAAACACACAAATAAACATACAACTGCAAATTGTGGTAAGTGCTTTGGAGGAGAAGTAGAGAGTGTTAATAAGGGCATATACGGATGTGGGTGGGGTGGCCTCCCTGGAAGTCTGAAAAGGCTTTCTCAAATACAAAGCCTAAGAAAGTATTATATAGGGCTTACTTTCAGGACTTCTCAGAGCATTCAAAGAGCTAAAGTGCAGTGGGAATAGCCACAAGGGGGAAATAGCATGCACATTCAGCATTTCCTGAATGTATTTGACTTAGAGTTCTTTCTTCTTCAAGCACCTTATGGTACTAATTCTCCACTCACTTCAGGACCCCTGTTCTTCTGTTCAGCCCTCCCACTGCATTAGAGTCCAGCCACAAGGTATCCACCAAGCCCTTTGCAGCCTGCTCCCCTTTCCTCCTCATTTGTGGGCCAAAACACCTTTCTTCCAGGCCACACCTCATCTGGAGCCTCTTGGCCCCTTCTGCCATCCCAAGAGGCTTCATACCCAGCCCAGCCACGCTGCAGTGCCCACTTCACACCTAGCCTCCAGGCTCCCCCGCTGACTCTCTCCTACCTAGCTGCCTGTCCATGGAGTCACAAGAGAAAACATGTCTACAGGAGTAGGCAAGGTGACTGAGAGGGAAAAAAGGAGAAAGCAGGGAAGGGAAGAGGGGCAAACGTGGTTAAGGTATGAGAGAGTCGGGTGTGAGGGGTACCCAGTGTGGGTAGATGAGAGAGGGAGGGAAGTGGAAAAGAGAGGGGGAGGTGTACAGGTGTGGCAGAGCAAGGGCAGAAGGTCCAGTGAGACTGTGAGGAGCAAAGTAGTCAGCTGAAAGCAAAGTGAATGGAGAGAGGAAACACAGATGTGTGTGAGGGTGGGTGATGAGGATAGTGTGTTATGGATTGAAATAGTGACCCTCCCCCACCCCCCACCCCCCCAAAAAAAACAAGAAGTTGAAGTCCTAAGCCCTGGTACCTGTGAACATGACCTTGTTTGAGATAGGGTCTTTGATGATGTTACCAGTTGAGTTAACATGAAGTCATACCTGAGTAGCATGAGTCCTAATCCCATCTAAGTGTTGTTCTTATAAAAGAGGAGAAGAGACACAGAGAGACACAGAGGGAGGACACCATGGGATGCTGCAGCTGAAAGCCAAGGAATTCCTGGAGCTACCTACCAGAAGCTGGGAGAGAGGCAGGAATAGATGTTCCCTCAATGCGTCAGAAGAAATCAACACGGCTGACACCCTGATCTCAGACTACCTGCCTCCAGAACTGTGAGAAAATAAATTTCCGTTGTTTAAAGCCACCCACTTTGTGGTACTTTGTTATGGCAGCCTTAAGAAAACTAACACGGAGTATAAAGTGTTTTGAAATGTAACAGATGATATTAATAATAAGCTTATAATGTTACATACTACACACTCACTGGCCCAACACTTGATGCTCTTTTTTAAATATTGGGCTAACAGCTTTTTAGGAATCATCTCATTCACAATAACCCTCTGAGTTAGATCTTATATTTGCCACTTTATAGGAGGCACAGAGGTTAAGCAACTTCCACAAGGCTACAGAGCTAGGAAGTGGCAGAGGCAGGATTTGAACCCAGATCTTCCAACTCCACCCTCTGCACAAGGCTCCTTCTCAGGAGACAGCGGTAGATTGATAGAAGAGAGAAGTAGTGAGTTGGCAAGAAGTCACGGCATACAAAGGGAGAGTAGATGAGAGGGTAAGACACCATGGCTGAGCAAGTCAAAGAGTGTCCGTGGTGAGCAAGGGAAAAGGGAGACAGAGACGGGGCTGAGGGAGGCCGGTGCAGGTCTCTTCTGCTCAGGAATAACCTTCTCCCTTGCAGCACTAAACATAAAAAAGAAAACATCCCTCATCCCAGAGAAGTGGGCAGTGTCCTTCCTGCCTGGGCCTGCTGTCCTGCGGGGGCCCAGCCCCTCCTAAGAAGCAGGAAGTGCCCTTGGCCTGGATCAGGCAAGTTGAGAGCCATTTCCCCTGAACACCACTCTCCAAAAACAACCAGACGTGGTTCAAATCACATCCCTTCTCTCAAGTTAATACAGTAAATAGTAATGGATAAGCAAGATTAGAGAAAATAATATTCTCACCGGGGAAGTGAAAAATGGAGGAATGTTTTCCATCTAATTCCAGCACAGAGGGCCTTTATTAATTTTACCAAAGGCAATTCAAATGTTAGAAAACCTAAATCAGTACAAAGGTTTGACTTTCAAAAGAAAAACAATATCACTTCAGTGAAAGAAGAGAATTATTATCATTCTTTTTCATATTTACAGCAGCTTCATCATTTTCCCAGACAGATAAATTTAATACAAGAATAATGGGCATCTCTACACACATGAGAAAGCTTTATTGCATTAAATAATAAATATTTAAAACACAAAGATTTTCTTTGTTCTGGAACTTCAATGACTTTCTAAAATTCATCCTCCAGATTTTATTTCTCAAGATTAAGATAGAGTGTCCAAAAGAAGTCAGTCCACCTTCCCAGAAAGAATTCCTCCCTTGTGAGGCATCTCTTTCCCCAGGCATATCTACAAGAGCATCTCCCTGCACAGCCTGCCTCCCAGCTCTGGGTTCAAAGCCCGTGTTATTGTAATAGACTCACTTCCACTTTTTGGTGCAAATGAACGTTCTCCCCGAGAAGAAAATTGACAAGGGATCCGTGGCCATTCCGGGTTGCTATCTGCAAAGCATTGACATTGAGCTGCAAGAGACAGACAGAAGGGGTAGGGAGAGATTCCCATTAGAATCCAACATGCTTTCTGGTGTTTACCACATGATAATGATAAAAAATTAATACAATTATGACAAATAGAAAATCCAACATATTTCCAATTATTTTGGAGGGCTGTTATTTCTAGGTGTCCCCCATAAAAAGAGCCAGAGTCCCCCCCAATAAATAGAAAATGTTTGCCTTGAATATGGCACTCTTATGGAGAACTATCTATATGAGCATAATCTCACAATAGTTAATCTAAAGCATAGAAATTTAAGGAGCAGAGAGCCTAAATTAATAGTGATTCAACAATATGGGTAGAGATAGTGAGAATAGTAACACAATGTGAAGTATGTGACCAATGTTATTGAACTGTTCATGTAGAAATTGTGAATGGATGTTTGGTTGTGATTATTGCCACTGAAAATAAATAAAATATTTAAAATAAAAAAGTCAGAGTCCTAGGTATCACATGCCTCAGGCAAATCTGAGCTAAATCTCTCTTTCCTTTCTCCTGGAAGGAGCCCTCGTGGCACAGTGGTTAAGTGCTCAGCTGCTAACCAAGGGTTGGAAGTTCAAATCCACCATCCACTCAGTGGAAAAAAGATGTGGCATTCTGCTTCCGTAAAGATTACAGCCTTGGAAACCCTGTGGGGCAGTTCTACTCTGTCCCATAGGGTTGCCATGAGTCGGACTCAACAGCAACAGGTTGTTGTTTTTTTCCCCCTTCTCCTGGAAATATGACATGGACTAGAAACAAGTCCTCTCTATAAACCCCATGGACCCCCTTCCTGAGTACAAATAGCTGATCTGGTGTTGGCCCAAAGAAGTACCTCAATATTTGCCTGCTTCCTTGTCTGTGGTTACTATCAGCCCTCCCTTTTCCAGATACGGTTTCAAAGCTTGGCGTGATTTCTACCCATGTTCAGTGTTCCCTCATTGCCCTTTTGCTCAACTCCTTTAGCACCTCTTGTTCACTCTGCTACTGGCTGCCTCTTCGTGTTCCCTGTGCTCATACTGGAGTAGGGTGGCTCCTAATCCTCTATGACAAGTGTCCTTATAAAAGAGGGGAAGAGACACAGAGACAGGGAGACAGAGGAATGACACCATGTGGCAGTGCAGCTGCAAGCTGAGGAACACCTGGAGCTACCAGAAGAGACACGGAACACATTCTCCCTCAAAGCCTCATAAGGAACCAATATGGCCAACAGTCTGATCTTGGACTCCCAAACTCTAGAACTGTGGGACAATAAGTTTCTGTTCTTATAAGTGATCTAGGAAATAATACTGGAATCATTATTCCCTGTCCTTGAGCATAGAGAATGTGACCCAGCTGGAGCTGGGCTCACAAGGACTCACAAGGACTCATAAGGACACATCAACTGGGCCCTGAGGTATAAAGACAATAGCTAGGATAATCTTGGAAAATATCTTTTAGGGAACCTTCCACATAAGCCAATCAAGCAGAACACAAAAGACTTCCCACTCTTATATTTTTCTATTAGCATTTAGTGAATAGAAAATTTGTTGGACCAATGACGACCCTCCCGACTGTCATTACTGAAACCTGTACCAATATTGTTAAGAAAGACAATTCAAAATATAGGATCACAGTTTCTAGCTAATATGTGAAAAGGTGAAGCTTTCAATGGTTTTGCCCATTTTGTAATGTTAATATATACTGATGACTCTGTAATGTTCCTTGGACTTGGGTAGACATGGCTGTGGCAGTATGCTTGTCCATTTTCCCATTTTTGCTTATTCTGTAATATTCCTTGGACTCTGGCAGACATGGCTGTGGCAGCATGCTTGTCCATTTTCCCACTTCTGCCTATTCTCGTAATTTCCTGAGCTCAGGCAGACATGGCTCTAGAAGCATGCTTGTCTGCTTTCCCATTCTTGCCTATTCTGCAATATTTCCTTGGACTCAGGCAGACATGGCTCTAGCAGCATGCTTGTCCATTTTCCCACTTTCGCCTTTTTGAATACATGCCAAATAAAAACTTTCTATTTGTTTTACTAAACTTTGTGATGTTTTTTCCCTACAACATAAACCACCCACTTTGTTGCATTTTGTTACAGCAGCCCTAGAACACTAACACAGTGTACATCTTAGGTATCTAGTGCTGCTATAACACAAATACCACAAGTGGGTGGCTTTAAAAAACAGAAATTTATTTTCTCTCAGTTTAGGAGGCTAACTGTGAGAATTCACGGTGCCGGCTCTAAGGGAAGGTATTCTGGAGGCTGCGGAGGAAGGTCCTTGTCTCTTCTGAGCTTCTGCTCCTGTTGTTGTGTTGTTAGGTGCCGGCCAGTCAGTTCTGACTCATAGTGACACTATGCACAACAGAACGAAACACTGCCCAGTCTTGAGCCATCCTCACAATCGTTGTTATGCTTGAGCCCATTGTTGCAGCCACTGTGTCAATCCATCTCGTTGAGGGTCTTCCTCTTTTTTGCTGACCCTTTACTTTACCAAACATGATGTCCTTCTACAGGGACTGATCCCTCCTAATAACAAGTCCAAAGTACGTGAGACATCATCTTGCCATCCTTGCCTCTAAGGAGCATTCTTGTTGTACATCTTCCAACACAGATTTGTTCGTACTTTCTGGTATCCTCTGCTTTCAGCCAAGATCCATCTGACATCAGCAATGATATCCCTTGTTCCACATCCTCTTCTGAATCCAGCTTGAATTTCTGGCAGTTCCCTGTTGATGTACTGCTGCAATTATTTTTTAATTTTCTTCAGCATAATCTTACTGGCACATGATATTAAAGATATTGTTCAATAATTTCTGCATTCTCTTGGCTCACCTTTCTTTCAAACGGGCACAAATATGGATCTCTTCTAGTCAGTTGGCCAGGTAGCTGTCTTCCAAATTTCTTGGCATAGATGAGTGAGCCCTTCCAGTGTTGCATCTGTTTGTTGAAACATCTCAGTTGGTATTCCATCAGTTCCTGGAGCCTTGTTTTTTGCCAGTGCCTTCAGTGCAGCTTGGACTTCTTCCTTCAGTACTATCAGTTCTTGATCATATGCTGTCTCTTAAAATGGTTGAATGTCGGCCAATTCTTTTTCGTACAGTGACTGTGTGTGTTCCTTCCACCTTCTTTTGATGCTTCCTGCGTCATTCAATATTTTGCCCATAGAATCCTTCAGTTTTGCAACCTGAGGCTTGAATTTTTCTTCAATTCTTTCAGCTTGAGAAATGCCAAGCATGTTCTTCCCTTTTGGTTTTCTAATTCCAGGTCTTTGCACGTTTCATTATAACACTTTACTTTGTCTTCTAGAAGTGCCCTTTGAAATCTTCTGTTCACTTCTTTTATGGAATCATTTCTTCCTTTCACTTTAGCTACTCGACATTCAAGTGCAAGTTTCAGAGTCTCTTCTAACATCTATTTGGTCTTTCTTGTCTTTTTAATGACCTTTTGCTTTCTTCGTGTATGATGTTCTTGATGTCATCCCACAACTCATCTGGTCTTTGATCATTAGTGTTCAATGCATCAAATCTATTCCTGAGAAAGTCTCTAAATTCAGGTGGGATATACCCATGGCTCTAATGGGCTTATTTTAACTTTCTTCAGCTTCAACTTGAACTTGCATATGAGCAACTGATGGTCTGTTCTGCAGTCGGCCCCTGGCCTTGTTCTAACTGATAATATTGAACTTCTCCATCATCTCTTTCCATAGACATAATTTGATTCCTGTGTATTTCATCCAGCAAGGTCCACATGTACAGTCACCATTTACATTGTTGAGAAAAGATATTTCCAATTAGTGGTCTTGCAAAATTCTGTCATGTGATCTCCAACATCATTTCTGTCACCAAGGCCATATTTTCCAACTACTGATCCTTTTTCTTTGTTTCCAACTTTTACATTCCAATCACCAGTAATTATCAATGTATCTTGATTGCATGTTTGATGTCTGCAGAAGTTGGTAAAAGTCGTCAAGTTCTTCATCTTTGGCATTAGTGGTTGGTAGTAAATTTGAATAATAGTCATATTAACTTGTCTTTCTTGTTTGTGTATGGATATTATCCTATCACTAACAGTGTTGTACTTCAGGATAGATCTTGAAATGTTCTTTCTGATGATGAATGTGATGCCATTCCTCTTCAGTTTTTCATTCCCAGTATAGTAGACCATCAAAAAAAAAAAAAAAAAATCCACTGCTGTCAAGTCAATTCCAGCTCATAGGGACTCCATAAGGTTTCCAAGGCTTTACTTTAGCAGACTGCCACATCTTTCTCCAGTGGAGCCACTGGTGGTTTCAAATGACCAGTTGCCCAATTCAAAATGGCCAATACCAGTCCATTCCAGCTCACTAATACCTAGGATATTGATCTTTATGTGTCCCATTTCATTTTTGACAGCATCCTATTTCCCTTGATTCATACTTCATACACTCCACGTTCTGATATATCATGGATGTTTGCAACTATTTCTTCTCATTTTAAGTCATGCCACATCAGCAGATGAAGGTCCCCAAAGCTTTACTGCATTCAGTTCATTAAGGTCGACCCTACTTTGAAGAGGCAGCTCTTTTCCAGTCATATTTTGGGTGCCTTCCAACCTGCGGGGCTCATCTTCCAGAACTATATCAGATGTCTTAGTCATCTAGAGCTGCTATAATAGAAATACCACAAGTGGATGGCTTTAACAAAGAGAAATGTATTCTCTCACAGTCTAGGAGACTAGAAGTCCAAATTTAGGGTGCCAGCTCCAGGGGAAGGCTTCCTGTCTCTGTCAGCTCTGGGGGAAGGTCCTTGTCATCAATCTTCCCCCGGTTGAGGAAATTCTCAGTGCAGGAACATCGGGTCTAAGGGGCACGCTATTCTCCTGGCTCTTCTTTCTTGGTGGAATGAGGTCCCCTGTCCCTCTGCTCGCTTCTTTCTTTTATATCTCAAAAGAGATTGGCTTAAGACACAACCTAATCTTGTAGATCTTATCAATGTAACTGCTGTTAATCTATCTCATTAACATCA